GGGCTTTAGGCGGTTTAGGGCTTAAAGTTTAGGGTTCCAAGGGGTTTAGGGTTTAGGGCATAGGGTTCCAAGCCTACCTGCATCTGCTAGTTTAAATACTTGGGTAGCTTTTCAATTGCCCCAGTCTCGGTAGCAGGAACACCGCAGCCTCTTTCGCGAGACGGGCGAGGATTAAAGGCTTTGCGGCAGAGATCGTGTTCTTTGGTAAAACCCTTCAACGTTGAAGTCCGCGGATCAACACGCCGACCTTAGAGTCCCCTCACGCCCTCCACAATCCTCGAAGATACCGAAACGCTCTTCATCCAAACACACCAAAAAGCCCTGAGCCCAAACCCTCCTAAACCCTAAACCCCCAACAGTACAAAACCCCAAACCCTAGCCCTTATAAGCCCTAAACCCTAAACATCAAACCCTAAACCCTAAACCCTAAACCCTAAATCCTAAACCCTAATCAGGCCGAAACCCGCGGGGTAGCCTCTGAGGCCTTCAGGCTCTGCGCGATGCCTTGGAGCTTCAGAAGAGTGGCCTCCTGAATGAGCTTAGGGGTTGCACCGGTGGGTTTAGGGTTTAGGGTTTAGGGTTTAGGGCTAAGATAGCTTCGGGGTTACACCAGTGGGTTGCGTTGGTTTGAGGTCTTTAGGATTTGGGGCTCAGGGTTGGGGTCTAGGTTTAGAGCATGGGCTATGAGAGTAGGCCGTAGGGTTAACCCTAAACCCTAAACCCTTAAGCCTCAACCCCAAAGCCATATCAGAACTTCGGGCTTCGGGGCCTCCTTCCGAAAACCTCGAAAGACCTCAGGCACTGTACTTCCTCAACCCAACCACTGGGTTTAGGGTTTAGGGTTTAGGGTTTAGGGTTTAGGGTTTAGGGTTTAGGGTTTAGGGTTTAGGGTTTAGGGTTTAGGGTTTAGGGTTTAGGGTTTAGGGTTTAGGGTTTAGGGGGCCATACTTAAACTCCACAGCAAAGTACGCAAATCTCAAAAACTTGAAAACCCAAACCCTGCAGCAAAAGCAGCAGAAAGCTCGAAGCCCTAAACTCCCATACCCTAGACCCTGGAACCTACTAAACCTGCAGAAGCCTCGGAACCCGAGACTAAACCCCATTACTAGCCTCGGAACACGGAACCCTAACAATTGAAACCGAATCCCCCCCATGCCATGATCAAACATCGAAACCCCTACACGTTGCGCTTACTAAAGCCCTGACGCCCCCAAACCCCTAGGTAAACATCTAAACCCTAAACGCCTAAAACCCTAAAACCCTAAAACCCTAAAACCCTAAAACCCTAAAACCCTAAAACCCTAAAACCCTAAAACCCTAAAACCCTAAAACCCTAAAACCCTATATAAACCGTTGCCCCCCTCGAGGTTTCGCTGTGAGAGCCTGGTTCCGGAAGATGTCCGAATAGAACTGATCGCTGCTGGCCTGGTCCTGCTCGCTTGAGGGGGTTTGAGGGCTTGAGGGGTGTTTAGGGTCATGGAGTCTAGGGCTTCAAGGCTTCCCTAACCCTAAACCCTAAACCCTAAACCCTAAACCCTAAACCCTAAACCCTAAACCCTAAACCCTAAACCCTAAACCCTAAACCCTAAACCCTAAACCCTAAACCCCAACCCCTAAACCCTAAACCCTAAACCCTAAACCCTAAACCCTAAACCCTAAACCCTAAACCCTAAACCCTAAACCCTTGCAGACAGGGGCGTTGTTCGGCCTTTGGGGGCCTTCCTATCTGGTAAAGGCTTTGGGGAGGTTCGGGGCTTAGGGGGGGTTTGGGTTCTGAGGACCATTTAGGGCTCACAGGGTCACAGGGCTTAGGATTTATAGGGTTTAGGGTTTAGGGTTTAGGGCTTAGGGCTTAGGGTTTAGGGTTTAGGGTTTAGGGTTTAGGGTTTCAAGTGCTGGGCCTACAGTCTTAGAGGGTCTCAGGGCTTAGGGCTTTTAGGGGTGGACGAGGTGTCGAGGGTGCTGCCGGCCTGCATGGCAGACTGATGGCCCCCATCACGCTGCACCACCTCTCGTGCTCACTTTAAGGTGGGCAGCGAGTTGAGTGGGGGGGGGGGGGGTTCTTGGTTGCCCAGTAAACCTACGAATCACATAATGATGTGAAGGTGCCCCTTTTGGGGTTGGTTCCGATAGAAGGCAACCTTGAACCAAACAAAACAAAGGCAAAGGGTACTACTGGGCTACCGAGATAATCCTATACCCTAGAAGGGAACCTTGAACCAACAAAAGCGAAAGGGTACCACTGTAGGCTACCATGATCATACTAAACCCTAAAGCCTAAACCCTAAACCCTAAACCCTAGACCGTAAAAGGAAACCTTGAACCCATAGAAGGGAAAAAGGGTACCACTGGGCTACCATGTGTTCGATGTGCAAAAGGGAGAGCTTCTGAAATGGATGCTCGGCAGCTCGGATCCGATCGTTTGGGACAGAGGAAGGAAGGACCCTTAAGGTTTAGGGTTTAGGGTTTCGGTTTAGGGTTTAGGGTCTCAGGTTTGGGGTCTAGGGCTTAGGACAATAAATAATTATGTTGAGATTCAGTATCGGAAGTGTTGCTAGCATCGTTCATGCAATGTACAAATGATACACTTCACTTCTCAAGCCCTGATATCAAAAATCCTCACAGTTCGTTCCTGGCCTAAACCCTAAACCTAAACCCTAAACCCTAAACCCTAAACCCTAAACCCTAAACCCTAAACCCTAAACCCTAAACCCTAAACCCTAAACCCTAAACCCTAAACCCTAAACCCCAACCCTGAACGTTTCTTGTCCCAGCTCTCGGCCCATGATCCGCCTTTGAGACCCCAATAATAAGAAGAACAATAATGGTAATAATAGTAGGAACAAAATTAATAATGGTAACAAAAATCATCATCATAACCATAATCATAATGTCTCTCCTAATCTATCCGTTCACATCCAGAAACCCAGTGCCGTGGCCTTATGAAACCTTGCGTCGCCAGGCCCCTACTCCCATCCCTTGCAGCTGTCCTCCCTAAAGGCAGGCTACCGTGAACCCGAACCCCGAGAATCTCCCCTAAGCCCTAAGCCCCCCCCGAAAACCCCCAAAAGCCCCTAAAAGCTGATCTTCCGGAGCTTTGGGGGACCTAAGGCATACATCCTCTAGCCCTTCATAGGGTTTAGGGCTTGAGGGCCTCCCAGCGGCCCTCTATCTCAGGTCCTCACTACACAGTCGGCCACACTATGGCATGCCAGAAGGATGAGCAGCGACCTTGCACCAGGTGGGGCCCCTGAACCCTAAACCCTACGTAAGCCCTAAGCCCTAAACCCTAAACCCGATACGCTAAACCCTAAACCCTCAAGCCTGATAAGTTGACTCTGGACCTTGTGGGGTCTGTGGGGCTCATGGGGTTTAGGGTTGGGCTTCTAGGGCTTGGGATTACAAGGCTGACAGGGCTTGTCGGGCTGCGATGGTCTATAGGGCCTCCAGAACTAACCTAGAGGACTCGTAGAATCCAAAGGGCTTTGTTGGAGTCCGTGGTGGTTCCAGTCGTCTGCGTATACAGGGGGCTTGGAGAAGTAAGTTGTTGGCACTTTTGTTGCCCTCAACTGCATGGAATCTGCATGAAAAGGACCCCGAACATGTGGAAGCCTCCCCCCCCCCCCCGCCCTCTCCGCCCAAAACCCTTACACACATTGACGAAGCCTCCCCCCCCCCCCCCCCCCCCCCCCCCGCCCTCTCCGCCCTAAACCCTTACACACATTGACATGGCTTTCCCCCGGAAGCGGGTTGACTCCAATGCAACAAAATCTATCATGGGAGTACACAATCAATGTTTCTATCTTGGTGGCCCGGAAACCATCTTAGAATAAGGGCATCCTCTTTATGTATAAGGGAACCTTAAAGCGATTAGGGGCGGGAATATTCGCCCCAACGAATCAAGGCATTCGTCCGTGAATTTTGACTTCCGAGACCTTTCGGTCCCAAACCTCCCCATAAATCAAGGAGAGGGTTTTCCGGAGTCTTCAGCTGAGCCGTGCGCTGTGAGATCTTCATTGCAAGGAGGATCTCAATCCAACCATCTCTACAGGCTCAAGCCGAAAACTGCAGGTCACCAGGACGGCATGAATGATGCAACCAGATAAGATGCGTCTGGCTCAAACGGTGCCCCCTACTTTCTTATGTTGGAGCTGCTTCAGAACACAGAGCTTTTCGAAGGACAACTGCGCAGCAACCATATGATGCCGAGGCGTTGTGTCAGGCAGAGAACAGATGTCTCAGATATCCGCCGTGACATGAACTAGGGTATATATTTCTTGTACCCCCAAAAGGACACCCCATATATACACTCACCAATTTGAAAAAGGAACCCTATATACACTCACCAATAACAGAAATATAAACCCTGCTTCACATACATGAAGCGCTCCGCTAGGGGTACCGGCCAAAGGCTCATCTTGAGCCCTTGAGCTCTGGACATTTTCGCCCCCAGCGAAGCACAGAAAGGAGCACGGCATTGTCTCGAGGCTCCTAACTTGCAAGTGGTCGCACGCTGTCCGCTAGAAATTGCGGTTATAGGGTCTAGGGTTTGGGGAAGCATCCATGTGTTTCCATCATTACCGGCTAAATATCGGCAAACCGCAGCCCGGAAAGCGCGCTCCACTGTTTTGGACAAAGCACGGGGGGTGCCTTTGTGCCAGTCCAGAGACACTGCGAAGACAGCATACATTCCCTAAGGGTCCATGTACCTAAATAGGGAGTACTTAGGCCCCAAAGTCCCTATATAGGAGGTACTTTAAGGCCCAAGTACTCCCTATTTAGGTACATGGACCCTTAGGGATTCAATGCGGTTGTTTGTGGTCTGCTTGCAGACCTCAGGGGTTCGCGTGCTTCTGTGACGGGCTCGAAGAGTTGGTCCGTTCATGAACTGGACATGAATTAAGCTCTCTAAACACCACAACCCTAAACCCTAAACCCTAAACCCTCAATCCTAAACCCTAAACCAGTGAGCTGCTCAGCCTGCGGAGGGAAAAGCCGATTTAAAGCCCGATAGGTCGCGACTGGTCACCTCAGCGATACAGGTGGCAGCGTTGCAGCCATCATCCCTTTGACGGGCCCAACGGCTGAACAAAAAAGGGTTTAGGGATTAGGGTTTAGGGTTTAGGGTTAGGGTTTAGGGTTGGGGGTTTAGGGTTTAGGGTTTAGGGTTTAGGGTTTAGGGTTTAGGGTTTAGGGCTACTCACCATGCCATGACTCTCCGAAAACTGAAGCTGAGCCATTGGAACCAAGTCACGGGATACAAACCTCAGGCCGGCTGAAAGGGTTGAGGCTTTCGGGTTTAGGGTGCGGGGTTTCGGGTTTAGGGTTTCGGGTTTAGGGGTACCACTGCGGGTCCCATCTCTGTGCAACTCACCCCAAAAGCCTCGCTCTTGAGACACCTCGAAGCCCTCGTCAGTTCGCGCCTTGCAAACAGATCTTTGCGGCCACGCGGCTCACCTCTCCCCGTATCCAAGTCCAAGTCGTAGACTGAGCAGTGTGAATTCGGATTCCTGGCACCGAGGGGGTCCATTTGTAGTACCACCATGGATCTAGAGTACCCAAAATCCTACTCATCCACGCGTATTGGGTAACTTCGTGTCTCATGTCAACTGCTCCATGCCATGCCATGTCTTCAATGCAGGTGAGCTGCAGCGCAACGTCCTGACACCAAGCAGGCAAGAGAAGTAACGGGGCGTGAGGTTTAGGGTTTAGGGTTTAGGGTAGACTGAAGATGCTAGTAAACCTTCCAAGAGCATCTTTCAACCTTAAGAGCCTCAACCAGAGAGTTGCCGAACCTCGGGGGAAAGTATCGGAGACATCATGACCAACCTTGCGTTTCTCACATCTTCGGTCTCATTGTATTACCAGCGGCTCCGGGCCGTGATATATAGCGAGCGGGTTTAGGGTTTAGGGTTTAGGGTTTAGGGTTTAGGGGCACTCACCTGCCATATGAGCACTGGCAACCTCGGACTAAACCCCCCAAAAATGCAACTTCTCAATGTACCAAGATGGTAGGTGCTGGAACCCCTGACCCTAAACCCTACGCCCGGAGCCACTATACACATGAAGGATAGCCAGCCCCAAACCCTAAACCCTAAACCCTAAACCCCTAACCCCTAACCCCTAAACCCTAAACCCTAAACCCTAAACCCTAAACCCAGCCTGCCGGGAAGTGATCAGAGTTCGCTTCCTGCGGGGTAGCCCTGGCTTGGCTGGCCTCTGCTTCACGTGACTGGAAGGTCGTGGAGGGTTTAGGGTTTAGGGTTTAGGGTTTAGGGTTTAGGGTTTAGGGTTTAGGGTTTAGGGTTTAGGGTTTAGGGTTTAGGGTTTAGGGTTTAGGGTTTAGGGTTGATAGGGCTTTTAATTATAGGTCTGCATAAGGTTTATAGGGCTTATGATTATGGGATTTCATAAGGTTTATAGGGCACATATACTTGTAGGATTTCACAAGGTTTGTAGAGCTTACATTTGTAGGACTTCACAAGGTTTATAAGGGTTTGGGTGTGTAGGGTTCACGGTTCAGAGGGTTTACAATGATAATAAAAGGGATTTCACAAGGTTTATAAGGGTTTGGGTGTGTAGGGTTCAGGGTTTTTTGGGTTTGGGGGAAGTTGTGTGCTTTTTAAAGGGTTTGTAGAACTTTTAGGGTTTATGCTGCGCTTTGGGTTTGAGGGAAGTTGTGTGCTTTTAAGAAGCCTTCAGATTTGTGGAAAGTGGGGGGCCGCGGCCGGGACACCCAACAACCTAACTATATAACCCTAAATCCCAACCATCCTCCCAACAAAAATAAAGGGCCCGGAAACGCAATTTCACTCATTGAAATTTACAGAGAAGCACTATCAACAACAAAAGTTCGTTCTACACATTGCCATTTCGACCAGTGCAGGCGGACACGTGCTTCTATACATTTGCCAGAGGCTGCTGCTAAACCCTAAACCCTAAAACAACTCCCTGAATCCTAAACCCTAAAACCCTAACCCCAAACCCTCCCATTTGCGATTCTCGGATAAGAAGACGGCCGGATCTCGACTGAAAAAGCCGCGAAAAGTTCTGCTCTTGTGCATTGTGAATCACCAGGTAGTTACAACGGGGTTATGAGTAGTAGGGCAACTAAGTACGAACAAACCAATGAAGCCGAAACCCTAAACCCCAGAATAGCCCCAGACTCCGAACCCTAACCCTAAGCCCACCCATGAACCTCCAAGGAGGTGTTTTCAGAGCCCAGGGGTTATCGTTCCCCCAATGCCAGACCCTGCACCCTACATCCTAAATCCCCTAAGCTAGGATGGCCCCTAAAACCCTCCTCTTAAACCCAATAAGTGAAAAAAAGAAACATGTCCCAAGGGCCTACCTAGTAAGGTCGTTAAGGTCCCATAAGGCCATAGACCCTCATAGCGAACCCTGTAGCCGACCAAGAAAGCCAAACCCTAAACCCTAAACCCTAAACCCTAAACCCTAAACAATAATCTTCAGGGCAACCGATCTCTTGGAGGCCCAGGGTCTGCTGCGGAGCCAAGCCGAAGTTCTCCAGAAGTTTCGCCTCAGCTCAAGGTTTAGGGTTTAGGGTTTAGGGTTTAGGGTTTAGGGTTTAGGGTTTAGGGTTTAGGGTTTAGGGTTTAGGGTTTAGGGTTTAGGGTTTAGGGTTTAGGGTTTAGGGTTTAGGGTTTAGGGTTCAGGGTTTAGGGTTTAGGGTTTAGGGCTAGGGCTTTTTAGGGTTGAGGTGTAAGGTTTGGGGTTTGGGGCTTAGGGGGTGGGGTCCAGGGTTTAGGATTTAGGGTTTAGGCTGCAGGGCGTAAGGTTTGTTTAGGGGCGACGTAGGGCTTGAAGATGTAAGCTTGTAGGTCTTTGGGGCCTCCGGGCCTGGGCCTTCGCGATTTCAAAGCTTTTTAGGGTTTCAGGTGCCAAGGTGTTGGTGGGGAGTCTTGAGCTTAAAGTGCTCCCCTAAACCCTAAACCCTAAACCCTGAACCCTAAACCCTAAGCCCTAAACCCTAAACCTTAAACCCTAAACCGATCTGGGTGTTAGGGATCCAAGGCTTGTAGGGCTCAGGGCTTAGGGTTTCGGGTTTAGGGTTCAGGATTTGAGTTTTCGATTTGCAGCACTTTGAGGGTCTTTAGCGCCAGTGTCGGGTCTACCGTGGGCTCAGGGGCTTCAGTTGATAGGTCATTAGCCACTATTGCTTAAGAACCCTTCCAAACATGAAATATTCTTCAGTATAAGTGTAATATGGGATTACTATCTCCTTTGAGGGGTTCTTAAGCAAATAGTAGTCAACACGTTGGGTCTTGGGGCTTCCGCGTTACCTTATGAACGTATAACCGCCCGTAATCTCTTGACAGGTGAACACAGACAACACATGAAGGTGACAGTAAGAAAGACACGTGACCTCCCAAGCGATTTTCTTGGATCACCAGGGTTTATTGGTTTAGGAAGATGAAGCGAAGCAAAAGACCGCTTTTAACGAATGTTCTTGGTTAGTTCACTTCCTTCTTCTCATAGTGTTATTCCGGCGAAGAGAGTATGTGAATCAAATCATCAGGAAGCGAAACGAACGCATGAATTTAATGAACAAAAGAACGAATTAAGCTTGGGAAAAGAATATATGCTTGGAATTATAGTCTAAAAGGCCCGGGATATGAGAATAATACTAGTAGTAATAGAGTTAAAGGGGCTCTTATATAATATACAATGGCTTATTGAATAACCTGTGAATGCAATGAACACGAAAGAAAAGAGCGCAGCGAATGCAATGAACATCCCAAAGCCCCTATGTTATTACGTTTTTTACTGGGCTAAAACCCTAAAACCCAAAGACCCTAAAACCTAAACCCCGAAACCCGAAACCTCGAACTGGGACCAGGAGACAGCGCCGCCCGTCTGCCACAATTCCAGCAACGTCCACACCTGCCAACTTTGAGAACGTGGCTCTTGGGGTGTCTAGGGTTCAGGGCTTAGGGTTTAGGGTTTAGGGTTCAAGGTTCAGGGTTCAGGGTTCAAGGTTTAGGGTTTCGGGTTGAGGGTTTAGGGTTCAAGGTTTAGGCCTTGGGGTTTCGGGTTTGGGTTTAGGGTTTAGGGCTCAGGGTTTAGGGGTTAAAAGTGTTTAGGATTTGGGGTTCAGGGTTTACACTGCACATGACTTTAGACGGCAGGCGGGAGCCCAAAGTATAGTTGCATCTCTATAATCACACAGACTTCTGAACCTGAAGAGACTCTGAACCCTGAGTCTCTAAACCCTAAACCAAATTCCCTTGCACCCTAGCCCTCACCCCTTTACACGATAAACTGTGACTCTAAGAGTGAACCTAAACTCCAAGCCCTACAAACACCATAACCTAAGCACCCAGCCTATCAGGCTTAACTGGACCACACCCGCTCCCACGTCCCCCCGCCTATCCCTAAACCCTGAACCCCGACCCCTAAACCTTAAACCCCCAAACCCTACACCCTGAACCCTAAACCTCCAAACCCTAAACCCCTCCCAAAGATGCTGCTGGTCGCCTTCTGGTGCTGCGACTCGGTGAGCAGAGCACACGGCCTGTTTTCTCAGAGACTCAGCAAAAGTCCTAAACCCTAAACCTAGAACCTAAGACCCTATGACCCTAAGACCCTAAGACCCCTGAACCCCTGAACCCCTAAACCCTAAACCCCTCAACCCCAAACCGGGGTCCTGTTCAACACGAGCACGTCCGGGTCGCGGAAGAGGGCCAAAAGGATGGCCAGCAGCTGCGCCTCCCCTGGGCGAAGGTCCTTCATCCTGCAGAATGCGCTACACTTGCTTTAAGGGGTGATAGTGAAGGCATTTTATTGTGCCAAAAAAACACATGAGCAAATAGACACATACATACATATGTAGACATGTATATATATATATATGTACATGTATATGTATATAGGTATATGTATGTATGTATGTATGTTATACTTGATGCTCGACATGGTGCTCTAAAGTGAGGCTTCAGAGCTTGGGGCACAACCCAAGCAGGCAACGCACTCTGGCAGCCAGAGCCTCGAACGAAAACACACCCAATCGGTTTTAGGTTTTAGGATTTAGGGTGGGTTAGGGCCCGCCTAGCTTAGACCATGGTCATCCGGATTTGGATGGAGGAGCTCTTAAATCCTAAACCCTGAGCCCTAAAACCCTAAACCCTACATGCTAGGTTGAGTTGCATCCCTCACTCTCCCATCCCCAACTTTCGCAAAAAAAAACCCAAACCCACGCGCGCCACGTCCCACCTCTTCTGCGGGTTGATTTCCAACCTGAGCTGCTCGGAAACCTAAACCCCAAACCCTAAACCCTAAACCCTAAACAAGCCCTGCCCAACCCTAAACCCTACACCCTACACCCTAGACCCTAAACCCTAAACCCCAAGCCCCTCAACACCACCCCCCTCAACACCTCGAAGTGCAGAGGCACAGGTGCACCAGCCGCTCGCCTATCGGAATGCCCGCAGGACAGCCATCCTGGAGCTCCTTGTGTTAAAGTGTCTTTAAGAGTGCAATGTAAGGTTTAGGGTTTAGGGTTTAGGGTTTAGGGTTTAGGGTTTAGGGTTTAAGGTTTTCAGGTTTAGGGCTTAGGATTCAAGGTTTAAGGTTTAGGGTTTAGGGTTTTCAGGTTTAGGGTTTAGGGTTTAGGGTTTAGGGTTTCAGGTTTAGGGTTTTTGGTTTAGGGTTTGTAGGGCTTCTAGGGGTTGCAGGGTTTCTAAGGGCAAGCTCCTTCTTAAAGTGTTTAGAATGCGTTATAAGGTTTAGGGTTTAGGGTTTCGAGGTTCAGGGTGTAGGGTTTAGAGGTTCAGGAGGGGTTGAGGGTTTCTGGGGCTTCGGGGGCTTCTGGGGCTTCTATAGGGTTTTTAGGGTTAGGCTCCTTTTGAAGTGTTTATATGTGTACTCTCGGGTTTACGGTTCATAGGGTTTATAGGGTTTACAGGGTTTATAGGGTTTATAGGGCTTAGAGGGTTTAAAGGGTTTAGAGGGTGTTTGGGGATTGTAGGGTTCATAAGATTTGTAGGGACTGTAGGGTTTATAGGGTTTAGGGTATCAGGTCCTGGGTTCAGGGTAAGGCGTACACAGCTTCCGGGGTTTAGGGCTTTCCTTGCTTTCGGGAGTAGAGACTTCGGCTTTGGGGCAACGAGTGGTTACTGAAGCTTGGAGTCTGTGACAGTTTTTTGGAATAGAATGCACACTGCCTCGTTGGGAGGAACAAAAGCTTCGGGGCTAAGGGCCTGGAGGGGTCATCACATTGAGCTCTCTACTGCTTTGGTGGCTTGGGCGGATGAGCTTGCAACACTCTTGCGTGGTATAGCATGTGTGCCTCTGCGGACAGAAAGCCCAAAAACCCTAAAACGCCGGGCGACCGCAACCAAGCATGCTCTCGCAGATCTGATGCACCCGAAACCCTATAAACCCTAAACTCTGATGCATGAAGCTGTCTGGGACCAACGTTTCTAGGTCTTAGGGATTGTGGCGATTGTGGTCTTTAGGGTATATACTACTATTGCTCAAGAAGACCCCCCCCCCCCCAAAAAAAAAAAAAAAAGGAACCTTCTTAGCCATATAAGGGTAATACAGGGAATATTGTCTTTTGTGATTTTGGGGTTCTTAAGCAAATAGTAGCATACGGGGAGGGGGCGGGGGGAGGGGGGGGGTTCGAGGCGAGAGGTTTGGCATAAAGAAGGGGGCGAGTATAGTATAGGGTAAGAAGGGCTAGAAGCCCTCAACGTCCCTAGAGTGAGAGCGTTTAAGTCATAAGTTAGACCTATACGGTTTACAACCCTAAACCCTAAACCCGAAACCCTAAACCCTAAACCCTATGGGGTTTACAACGGGGTTTAAGGTGTGGGGTTTAGGGTTTCTCCTCCATCACCTTGGTGTGGGGAGTTCTCAGTGCCACGGCAGGCACGTAGCCCACGCGGATGCCCTCAATGGCCAAGGGCGCTTCGAAAGCTTATAAGGGAACCTGTTTTTAGGGTTTAGGGTTTAGGTGTTACGGTTTAGGGTTTTGGGTTTAGGGTTTAATGGAACTGTCATTCCCCTCTTCCTAGCTGAGTGCTGTGTGGAAATCTGTAGCAATTAAAATGGTGCCCTTTTTGGCTTTAAGGGGATTACAAGGGGACCCAACCCTAAACAAAGGAAATAAGGGCCTACTCCGGGCCCTAGTGTATATAAGAGATTTCGGAGGGAGCAAGGCTGAGGGCCGCTGGCCTTTTGCCACTAGTAATCTTGTGCCACTTGCACCACCCCAGTCGGGAACTGAAGAATCACTCCGAAATCCGGACCTGAGGACCTCAAGCCTCTTCCTTCCTTAAGAAGAAGCCCTCGAGCTGCACCTGGCTGCAGGTCACTTTGAAAACGGCCCTACTAAGCCACCAAACTAATTGTGGAGGATGGCTGCAGGTCGATACATCCGCCCAAAGTGGAGCATTTTCAGCTCGCTCACCTGAACGCAGCGGCAGTTTTTTTTTTTTGGGGGGGGGGGCTTTCAGGATCTAAGACCCTTCATGACAAGGACGTAAACTCTGAACCCTAAACTCTGCACCCTAAACCCTAAACCTCAAACCCGAAACCCTATACCCTAAACCCTAAACCCTGAACCCTAAACGCCTGCTCTCGAAGCCGCAGTTGCCCCCTTCCCCTTAGAGGCCCAGACAACTCGATGAATGGCTTAAGGTTTGCACATGGTGATAGGTCAAGAACCCGCGTGCAAAGAGACGTGCACAAAAGGAGCCAGGTGTCCTTGCGCAACGCAAACCTGCGTAGTTGCTGAGTCCATAAGCCCCCAAAAAGCGTACGCTTTGGGTTCTATAGGGGATTGTAGTATCCCAAAAAGTGTAAAGTGTGCTCACTCAGCTACTAAGCCTGGCAGTATATCCTGCCTGCTGCGAGAAGGCTTCGTCCGAAGATTATGCAACAGCCTAGATCCTCTGACTTGATCTGCGTCACTTTGCCCATGTAAACCCTAAACCCAACCCAAGCCAAGACGGCCTAAGCCCATCTCATGGAACTGAGAGCACTCAAGCTGACTGTAGAGGCTAATCACTTCTTGAAGCCAAGTCGTAATGAATCACCCCCGACATCTACTCTTAGGCCCAGTAAGAATCTACGCTGAAGTCGACTGGATCAAAAAAAACGGGGCACTAAACCCCCAAACCCCAAAAGAAAACCTTATAACATCGAAAAGTAATACTCTAAAAGGTCGAACCGAGGCGCCTGAGTGAAAAAGTTGACCAGCTCCTTCTCCTTCCAGCAGGGTGGGGGAGTTTACAGCCCACGCCTGCTGCCTGAACCCCTTGAGAAGCTCAGGAATCATCACCCGCCGTAGCACGACACAGCGGCAGCCCCTGCCCCAGCCTTGTCTCCTAAACCCTAAACCCCAAACCCCAAACCCCAAACCCTAAACCCCAAACCCTAAACCCTAAACCTTGTTGGGCACATTGAGCCTCCAGCATGGCGAGCTGGAGCTTCCCTCAAAATCCGCTGAATCTCCTACACCCTGTACGCTAAATGCCAAGCCTATGGAGCTTGTGGAGGGTCCTGGGTGCTCGACACGCGAACTGCACCGCCCAGTGGGATGGTGAAGCTTCGATGGACAATCCTCCGGCTCTGCTCTTCCGATTTTTGTTGGGAGGTTTGGGGTCTTTGGGGGGTTCAGAATTGCTTCGCCTTTCAGGAAGCCTTGGGCTAAAGGTGGCCATGGGATTGCAGCATCGCCTCAAGCGTCTCTGTGTGTGTGTGTGTGTGTGTGTGTGTGTGTGTGTGTGTGTGTGTGGGTGTGTGTGGGTGTGCGTGTGCGTGTGCGTGTGCGTGTGCGTGTGCGTGTGCGTGTGCGTGTGCGTGTGCGTGTGCGTGTGCGTGTGCGTGTGCGTGTGCGCGTGCGCGTGCGCGTGCGCGTGCGCGTGCGGGCGCGTGTGCGTGTGCGTGTGCGTGTGCGTGTGCGTGTGCGTGCGTGTGTGTGTGTGTGGGTGTGTGTGTGTGTGTATTCGTGTATGTATCGTGTCTTATAAAAGATGGTTCATGTTTTGTGCTTCGTCTGCTGCGGGGCGAGGGCGGTGTGGGAACACAGCCTGGTACAGTGTGTCGAGCAACAGACACGGCGGTTCTTTGACTAAGAGACTTAAGGATTTGAGCTTTAGGGGAAATATGGTTAACCCTGAACCCTACACCCTAAACCATAAACCCTAAACCCCAAAAAGGGCAACAGGGTACCATGGGGGGGGGGGGCGGGGGTAAGGGGCATAAGGTTTAGCAGGATTGGGAGGGCGCCCTCCCTATGGTCCTGGATTTATGCCGCGCGAGTTCGGTCTGCTCTTTGCCATCACATCCTCACCCGGCGGATGTAAGAGTGTATGGTGTAGGGTTTAGGGTTTGGGGTTTGGGGTTTAGGGTTTGGGGTTCAAGTTGCTGCTCGAAATAGCCAAGTCGCCGCCATTTCAGGCTGTTACTTGCAGAGACTAAGAAGCAAAGCCGGTGTGGCAATGTTGCGTACGGGAACAGCCGAACCAGAAGCAGCGAGTAGAGAGTCAGACACCTATAGGAATCGTAGCTGAAGGAAACCGTCTACAAGAGAGACCACAAGCACAAAATACTCGCAGGTCTCTGAATGCGGCCCAAGACGAGTGGGGTTGTGAACAACGCCAGAAACATCAGGTACGAAAGGGGCCTTCATACTTAGAATCGGGTTTGGGGGGGTAAGCGGACCGAAGTTTGATGCCTTTAAGGTGAAACAAGAATAGGGTAGTTTATTCGTATAGGGACCATAAGGGAATACCACTAGTACTTATTCCGACCCCTATAGTAATATCAGTATATGTATGAGCAATGCAAATACTTCGTGGCAGGTGCATCCATAGCCGATCGGAGCTCACTTGCCTTACACCCTGAACCCTCCAACCGTAACGAACCCTCTAGCTCCTCTAGATCCACTACTTAAAGCCTCTAAATCCTCTACATCCCCAGTCTGAACCCTAAACCCTTCTAGCTGAGTAAATCTCTGAACCCTCTAAATCCTCTAAATCCCCACTCTGTACCCTAAACCCGTCTAGCTGGGCAGCCATCCGCGTAGTCGTCGCCCTTCTCGAAGCGGATCTCGTTCGACCTGAACCCGCCCTCCCTATCACAACAAGCACTTCAACGACACTTCTATCGGGTTTAGGGTTTAGGGTTTAGGGTTTAGGGCTAGGGTTTGCACAAGCTCGTGGTTGGGGTGCCACGCCGACTTCTGCCGAGCGCCACCCTGAGTTTGAATCTCATCCCCCACTCCTTCAAAACTGGCCTGGACTGTGGGGCCCCCGACTCAGATCTCGGGCCCTTTAGGGTGCGCACTCCCAGTGTCAACCAAGTAAGTGCTAGAAACATAAAGCGTCCCGAAAACGATCATGGAATTTCTACGATGTGGCAGCTTCTGCTCAGAAATGCCCAGACAAGATCTGCAAGAGCCCATCAGGCAATGGTACGTGACTGAATCATTGAATCCGCAGCCTGAGTAGAATCCCAGCCGCACAGGTGCTCGATATGGAGCCCGAAAACCGGAAACCCCAAACCCTAAAGCCCCAAGGCTGTCCAAGAAATGCCCTCAACGCGGCCTAACCCTAAACCCTAAACCCAAAACCCAAAACCCTAAACCCTAAACCCTAGACCCCTGAGTCCGATGCCCGTGGGCGCGGAACACGTGCGACCCGCTAGACTTCAATGTGGACTTCTCGGGGAGGTTCACCAAGGAGACGAACCTCGAGCTTCTCTGAGGGTACCCAGGGGGTCCACATGGAATTATAGATACCACAAAAACATATTTGGTATGGTTTTTGGGGTCCCGAATTCCATACTTGCACAATTCCACCTCCAAACCTTCCAGCACTTACTCCTAACCCTAAACCCTAAACCCTAAACCCTACACCCTAAACCCTAAACCCTAAACCCTAAACCCTAAACCCTAAACGCTAGACCCTAGACCCTAGACCCTAAACCCTAAACCCTAAACCCTAAACCCTAAACCCTAAACCCTAAACCCTAAACCCCAACCCGAAACCCCCCCCCCCCCCCCCAAAAAAAAAAAAAAATTGACGAAGTGGGGGTGGGCTCTGTGGAGCTCACGGCTTGGGAGGCATCAGAGCTTCCGTCAAGCTCCGGCCCCACAGCAAAGACCACCAACGCTCAATTCTGTTAGAATGGGTCAGGGCTTGGGGTTTACCTAGACCTTCCAGAACCTGAAAAATTGTAGGTTCTTGAAAATAACCGGGTTTTGCAACTCAAAACTGGGTTCTTGGCGAAAGCCCCGAACCCATATTTAAAATACGGGTTTTGTACGGGTAAAATACGGGTTTTGTACGGGTAAAATACGGGTTGCGGGCTCTTGCTCAAGAGCGAAACCCGGTTTTGCGGCAGGAAACCGGGTTTTTCTTAGCTATGTCCTTCAAAACCGGGTTTCTCGCAAAGAACCTACAATTTTTCAGGTTCTAGAAGGTCTAGGTAGGGTTTAGGGTTTAGGGTTTAGGGTTTAGGGTTTAGGGTTTAGGGTTTAGGGTTTAGGGTTTAGGGTTGAGGGTTGAGGGTTGAGGGTTTAGGGTTTAGGGTTTAGGGTTTAGGGTTTAGGGGTTAGGGTTTAGGGTTTAGGGTTTAGGGTTTAGGGCCGATAGAACCCTTGCCCCACGTCCAAAAAACCCAAGGCCTAACCCCTACAACACAAAACCCCAAACCCCGCATATGGGGGGTGGGGGGGAAAGGGTTTCGGTTTTGGCCCTCTAAGCCCTCAAAAGGCTTCTAAGTTCGAAAAGCATGATGAGCCAACGAACACCCCATGAACCCCAGCAAGCCTTTGTACACCCGGAACGGCCCGGCCCCCCCCGTACAGCAACAGTCTCCGCATGACCTGGTGACAACAAAGGTATGGACCCACTATGAAGCCACGAGTGCTGCAATTCGGGCCTTAAACCCTACACCCCCCAGACCACCGACCCGACGCAGATACCCTGGACCCAACGCTGAATCTTGAAATCTCGGGCATTTAGCGTAGCGAGGGTTTTGTTTTGGATTCCTGGAAAGCAAAAAAAGGGCCCTAAACCCTAAACCCCAAACCCCAAACCCTAAACCCGAAACCCCACAAATTCAAAACCCCCGAACTCCCGTCTTCCGGCCATGTTTCTGCTCGAGCCCCACGCTGGCGGAGAACATCTTGATCAGAGATGAGATGACCTTCTCCAGGTACTTTCCTCGCGTGGACTCTAGAGATGTTGGATGCAGGTTTTGGGGGGTCTAAACCCTAAACCCTAAACCCTAAACCCTAAACCCTATACGCACCCTGAACCCTAAACCCTAAACCCTAAACCCTAAACCCTAGGGACCCTAAAGCCTAAAACCCTAAGCCGAAACTATCGTCTGGTCTGTTATCTTCGCTCGCCAAAGCCTTGGGAACCCGAAGGCCTTCTTGGGCTTGGGGGGGGGGCACCCTATCTACAACCCTGAACTCCTTTCGACTCCCTCACCCCCCCGCCCCAAAAAAAAACTCCTAAGCCCTAAACCCTAAACCCTAAACCCTGAAAGCAGCCAAGGAGCCGCAGCTGGAGAAGACTTTCCTGGGGCGCTTAAGGGCCTGAAAGGGGTCTTGGTAAGGGTTGAAGCTCAGACTTTCAGGGATTTGGGGTTTGGGGTTTGGGGTTTAGGGTTTAGGGTTAGGGTTTAGGGTTTTGGGGTTTAGGGTTTTAGGGTTTTCGGATTTAGGGTCCTAAAGTAGGCAGGGGACGATGCATGCGCGGAAAGGCGCTTTGAGCAAAGTGCTCGGAACCTGGGAACCGATAGCAGGGCAACTGTTGAGGTCAAAGCTAGGTCTAGGGTTTAGGGTTTAGGGTTCAGGGTTTAGGGTTTAGCCAAGCTTGGGGATTGGGGTTTAGGGTTCAAAAAAAAGTGCTGCCAAGTCTCAGCTGGAAGACGAAGTCGCCGGATTGGAAGGCGTCCGACCCTGCTACAGAGTAGAGTCTGGCGATAATGTACTGTGGGGGTTTCCCAAAATAGGGGTACCCCTGTAATACCCCATATAGAACCCCCTGAACGGGACCCCCAGAAAGGGCACTCCCTGTCTTCGTAAAGCCCCCAAATCTGAGCTCTGGGTATCAGTGCGCTGAGACCCGCCATCTGACAAGAATCACGAGACACCCCCCGGCTGCTTCGCGTTCCAACAAATGGCTTTACAAAAACAGGGGACCCCTAATCTTAACTGAACTTGGAACCCTAGCAGTAGCTGTACTTTTTGCTGTTTCTTCGGAATTACAGTACCCAAAAACAAAAAAACCATTCCCAAGCATCCCTAAGTATTGTAGACCCTCAAAAAGTAAGATTCCCTCATCATGGCGATCCAATGAGGTACCCCTAGCATCATAACCCCACCCCCCCCCCCATAAAGAGAGGTACGTACCGGAGGCAGCATCGCCGAGTTTCAAACTCAGGTCACCCAGCCATGTAGGCTTTAGCTTAGGGTGGTATAGGGTTTAGGCTTAGGGTCTCCAAAAAAAAAATTCCCGCACTTGCGGTCGTCCTTCGCGGCGGCTCTTCAATAACGCGGCGGTGCCCAGAACCAAGATCAGGATGCGCACAAGGTTCGTGATCCACTTGGTAAACCTGCTGAGGCGGCAGCTCGCAAAACAGGCCTCTCTTGGGGAACCTTCAACTTAAAGCTGAAATATGAAACCCTAAACCCTAAACCCTAAACCCAGAAGGGATCCTAAGTCAGCACAAGGGCATGTGTGTGGGGTTTAGGGTTTAGGGTTGAGGGTTTTGGGTTTAGGGTTTGGAGGCATCTTCCAGAGAACCGCGCGGTATCTGGTTGCGCTTCGGGAGGAGAAGGGCATGCGACGAACAGGAGTCTTTTCCCCTTGGTAGCCCAGCAGCCATATCATAATAAGGGCACCCGTTTTTTGAGTTGGTCTGTCGGAAGATTCACCGCTCGAACTTGCTGTAACGATCGTAAACAAGCAGCGGCTTGTTCGCAATAATTCTTATAATTTGCTTGTTGACTCCGGGGACTGGGGATCAGGGGAACGCAGCACGCGGCGGAACATGTATCTGCCACATCCAATAAACCTCAATACTCAAACTCTCAGGCAGGCATACCCTGGGACACTATGGGACGCAAGCTGGGCAAGAACAAAGGTCCGGCAAAGGATCCACATTTTGATGTCAATGCCTCTTGTTATACTTCCGGAGGTCCTGATAAACCTAGACAGGTGAGGTGCAACTAAGGGTCATTCTACATACCATGAGTTCAGGGGTCATCCCAGATATCCACCTTGAAGGTGTACCATTCGTTCCCACACTTCGGTAAATGTGCAGCTGTGCCGCCAGACTGTGTCGTTGCTGAAGTCCCGGGCTTTCACGTGGAAAGTTGTGAAGAACTTGGACTCGGCGGTGAAACGCATGTCCAGCCTCTGGTTTCCCATCATCGTCGGAATCCCTTTTGGGGGCTCCCATGATTGAAGGGTTTAGGGTTTAGGGTTTAGGGTTTAGGGTTTGGGGTTTAGGCGGAGCCTTACATTTCGGTAGCCCTCCTCCCCCGCAAACAACAAAAAGGCCGGGATTCCAATATAGGGGCCTAGTTGATTAGAACAGGTCGACTTTTGCGGGCATTGTTTTAAGATAGAGGGATGGTAGGGAAAAACCATGGGTACTTACAACTTAGGCCCACCCGACATGCCAATAGCGTGCACGGCTACAGGGTTCCCGAAACCCGAAACCCGTAGCTCCTCTATCCAAGGGTTACAGGGCTTATGTGAGGGCTCAATAGGAAGTGGTAAAAGGTATAGGTGTTAGTTGGCGCCCCCGCCCCCCCTTCTCCGGTAAGGTTCGAGGGTTTGTAGGAATGGGTTGACGTTCTAGGGTTTACGGCTTCCCCTGTCGTTCGTGGTGGGCTTGCAGGGTTCAGGGTGTCACCTCTCAACCCTGTGTGGCTCTGGGCTTTGAGGAAGGCTTTAACACTCCTACCCCTAAACCCTACACCGTAAACCCTAAACCCAACAACCCAAAACCCCTAAACCCTACACCCCTAAACTTATCACCCTAAACCCTAAACCCCTAAACTTACAACCCTAAACCCCTAAACGTATAACCCTAAACCCTAAACTTCTAACCCTAAACCCTAAACACCCTAACCTTCTAAAGCACCATCTCAGGACGGCACTTGGCGTGGGTGCGCGTGGCGAGACTCTGCATGGGCAGGCCCGCGTGGCAGAGCCAGGACAGGGTGTCTACCCAAGCAGCCTGCCCGGATGTGCTTCTAAGGGTCTATAGGGTTTTGGGGGTTTAGGGTTTGGGGTTTAGGGTTAGGGTTTGGGGTTTAGGGTTTATAGGGTTCAGGGTTTCGGGTTTAGCGCTTCTTGTCTTATTTAAGGTGAAAGGGTTTAGGGTTTTGGCTCGGTCCCTTCATGGCATTTAAAGGGCTTCGGGTTGCTTGCGTAAAGGCGTCTGCGTTCCAGGACGCTTCGAGGCCCGCAACCCATCTGCCTGACAGACCCCTGAAGCCGCGAGCCCTCGCCGAGGTGGGCTTCGTGACAGGGCATACTATTCATGTACTCATAGTCTTCTTGTTAGTATTCTTCAACTCCGAAAAAACTCTTGAACTTGCTTATCATATACTCTTAGCATTCTTATTAGTATTCTTCAACTCCTAGTTTAGGGCCTTTGGGGTTTCGAACCTAAGCCTCCTGATTGCGAAGCCCTCACTCCCCTGAACCCTATACCCCTCTCAACTGGGCCCCTGTTCCCAGCACTACAGAAAGGCCCTATACACCTTTTGGGTTTAGGGTTTAGGGTTTAGGGTTCAGGGTTTAGGGTTTAGGGTTTAGGGTTGCCCTTAACCCTCATGCCCTTCCCCCCCCCCCCCCCCCGCCCCCCAGCCATGGCCTCAGAGGTACAAGAAACAAGGCCCAAACTCTAACACTAACCCTAACCTCAAACCCTAAACCCTAAACCCTAAACCCTAAACCCTAAACCCTAAACCCTAAACCCTAAACTCTAAACCCTAACACCTAAACCCTAAACCCTAAACCCCAAACCCTAAACCCCCCCCCCTCCCCCCCCACCTCACCCCGCATCCTTTCCACCAGGAGTTTCCCGAGCCTCGGCTGCCCGGTTGCGGAAGTAAAGGGGTTCAAGACTTGCAGGCTCCACGGCTTTTACATAGGGTTTAGGGTTAGGGTTTAGGGTTTATAGGGTTTAGGGTTTAGGGTTTAGGGTTTAGGGTTTAGGGTTTAGGGTTTAGGGTTTAGGGTTTAGGGTTTAGGGTTTAGGGTTTAGGGTTTAGGGTTTAGGGTTTAGGGTTTAGGGTTTAGGGGTTAGAGTTTAGGGTTTAGGGTTTAGGGTTTAGGGTTTAGGGTTTAGGGTTTTGAGATTGCAGGGAGTTCGGGCTTCTCAAGCTTCAGGGTTTTAGGGGTCTCGGTCTTCCAGCCTCAGGGCTTGAGCCCGAAGATTCGAGGGCCTCTGCACTAGATACCCTGTTTGGGTAGCCCAGCAGCCATGTCACAATAAGGGCAACCTTTTTGGGGCTGGTTACTTGTTACAAGGGAACTCAAAAAGAGCAAAAGGGTAGCACCGGGCCCCTAAACCCTAAACTGCAAACCCTAAACCCTAAACCCGAAACCCAAACCCTAAACCCTGAGCCCTATAGACCCAAAACCAGACTTAGGACACATGTTTTCGGGTCTTAAGGACGCATGCCCAAGTGCCTGGGGAGCCGAAGCACAGCAAAGGCGCACAACAGCGCCTGGCATCGGATTTGGCCGCGGGCAGGGGTGCTCCAAGGGCTTTGGTGCTAGACTTCGAGACTCCGAGGTCTTTTAAAGCTGCCATGGCTCAGTAAAAATGCTTCGGAAACGACCCCCCCAACCCCCAACAAGCGAATGAGCTTGGGAAGGCAAGCGATGCTTGATTCCCGCTGAAGAGCCTCCGTTAGCCAGCAACCTCATCCCCACCAAACCCTGACCCCTTGAACCTCCCTCAACCCCAAGGCCCGGCTTCTTACAAACTGATTCAAGGGCTTCAGGTCTTGGGTTGCATGATTTGTATGACTAATGCGATTGGTATTTATGGTATGCTTGGTACTATCACTATTACAATGGCTACGCAGAAGGTGGACGCATTCCCGTATCAGCCAGGCTCTGTGCTCATCTAGCGGCCGTGACCACCATAGCCACGGAGGGTACAATGAGGTTCAAGAACTCCTCACCTGCGACGCAGCCTAGACCCTTGTTCTGGTTCTGATGCTTACTCTCATGACAACCATGCTCGTTAGCAATCTTGAGAAGCCACCCCTACCCACCCACTGTCACCACGCAGCATGTTCATACGAAGAAGCTATGTCTGCCAGTGTCGATCTCCCGAATGTAAGCTTCGGTGAACCATAAACCCTAGACCCCTAAACCCTAAACCGCAAACAAGCAAAACCCTAAAGTTTAAATCCAAAACCCAAAAGACCCAAACCCTACATCTTTGGGCAACTGAGCCCGCCACTCACATCCTCTTCGGCTA